ACAGAAGTCCAAGTACTTACGGTTCTTTTGGATATGGAAAGTATTCCAACCAGGAAGCTGAAAAGGCACCTTCCGACCGTAAAGAAGACAAACACAGAAATCCACTTTTCTATGATCCTTCGGGATATGAAAGGTACCGTGATTCCAGTGGATACGGTGGTAGCAAAGAAAGTGAAAGCTCTCACCCTTCCACAGTGAGTGAATCTCGCCCCAAACCGACAGGTCCGCAGAGTGCTGCAGCACTTAAAACTCCCACACAGCCCTCTGGTTCCTACTCATCCTCCCCGCAGTCAGACCCTGCTTCGCGACCTTGGGGTCTGTCAAGTGTAGAAAGCAAAACTCCGCTGTGGGACTACTTTACATCCCCTTTGAGATACGAAGAAAGAAAGGATAAACCATCTTCGGGGACGAAAGATACATCAGATAGGGATCGAGCCTCTTCTGGACAAAGAGAGGAACAACACAAAGACACACGCGATTATCGGCCTTCAAAAAGTGAGTACACAATCGGAGATTCAGACAGATATCAACAACCAGGCGAGAACGGACCATCTGCTTCTTCATCCTCTGTAAAGGAATCTCTGCCTAAACCAGCAGGTCCGAACAGTTCACCTTCACCTCGCAAATCTCCCTCACTTAACTTCGGCCCCTACGCCTCGACGACCGAATCTCCGGACCCGTTGGCTCGTTCTTGGGGGTTAGCGGCCCTCGCGGCCACGCGATCCCCTCTGTGGGCGTACGTGACCTCCGAGCGGCCCTGGAAGGGCGTGGAAAACGCCTGGAGGGTTGACTCGTACGACTGGCCCGCCAAGCGCATAGCCGAGAAGGAAGCGGCGGAAGCTCGCGAGCGGAAGAGCAAGAAGCGGAGGCCAGAGGACGATGAAGACGGTGACGAGGAGGGGCGCCGGAAGCAGGAAGAATCGGAGGAGGACGGAGAGGGGGAAGAGGGCGAGAGAAAGAGATCGCCGCCCCGTTCCAGAAGTAGAGAAGATAGCGAGGAAGACGCGAGAGAGAGCGCGCCGCTCCGTTCCAGAAAGAGAGATGATGGAGAGGATGAAGATGAGGAAAGACAGACATCCCGTTCCAGAAGCAGCGATGATGAAGATGGGGAAGGGAGAGAAAGTCAGTCATCTCGCTCCAGGAGCAGAGATGATCGAGATGAAGAGGACAGGGAAAGCCAGTCATCTCGCTCCAGAAGCAGAGATGAAGAGGAGAGCGAAAGCCAGTCATCCCGCTCCAGAAGCAGACATGATCGAGATGAAGAGGACAGGGAAAGCCAGTCATCTCGCTCCAGAAGCAGAGATGAAGAGGAAAGCGAAAGCCAGTCATCCCGCTCCAGAAGCAGACATGATCGAGATGAGGAGAGGGAAAGACAGCCATCCCGCTCCAAGAGCAGAGATGAAGAGGAGAGCGAAAGCCGGTCATCCCGCTCCAGAAGCAGACATGATCGAGATGAGGAGAGGGAAAGACAGCCATCCCGCTCCAAAAGCAATGATCGCGATGAAGAGGAAGGGGCTCGAGCCGAAGGAAGCCAGCGCGTGTCTGGGGTAGTGGACAGCGCGGAGGTGGCGCGGTCGGCGGAGGACCAGATGGCAGAACCAGATGGGGCCGAGTCTCGAGCCACGGACGCGGTAGTGGACCCCACTGGATCGCAGCAGACGCAGCAGCAGACGATCGCTGAACCTGAGGGAGCGGTGTCGCAGGTGATGGAGACGGTGGTGAACGCACCCAAGATGGCCGCGACGACGCTCGACCAGATGGAGGAGCCAGTGGGTGCTGAGTCACGAATAGTGACGTGGACGGCGGACGGTGCAGGGTCGTCGGCGAAAGTGGTGCGGGAGGCAAAAGACGTGCTGATTGACCAGCCAATTGTTGGATCCCAGAAACCGCTATCACCAGCCAAATTGGCGCCAGATGGAACTGAACAAATGGAGGATCTAATGGCGGGAGCGGAGTCTCAAATTTCCGTTTCCGTGATGCCACTGGACCACGCGACGGCCGAGTCTCAGGCCGTGGGTTCGATGGCAGAGCCCCAGCGCGAGATCGCGGCGGCGCGGCTGGTGGCGTTCGCGCAGGCGGAGGCGGCGTGGCCGGCGTGGGCGGAGTCGCGGGCGGTGGCGGCGGTGCTGGACCGGCGCGGGCGGCCCGTGGACGCCGCCGAGTGGAGGGAGGCCGTGGCGTCCACGCGGAGGAGCAGAGCGCAGGCGGCGCGCAGGGAGGCGCGCGACCAGGCGCAGGACGACGCGTGGGGTGAGTCAGCCGGCGCATTCTTGTCTGTCCCGTCTTCCACGTGCGGAAGTAGCTGGTGGTGTCTGAGTATTTGTTTTTTTTACAGTTTATTGGGCAAATGCAGGAATACAATATATCTATAGCGTACCCGCTCCGCTCGGCCCCGCCTCGCCGCACCACACCACACCACGAACCACCCCCTACGCCCCATCTCACCACCACCTGATCCATCCCGACATTCCCCGATCTACCTCCATCGACCCCGATGAACCACACTCTCCCGCACTGCCCCGTCCCGCCTCACCCCACCCTCTCAATCCCACGACGCCGAACCTATCTCTACTCTGCCACTTTACGATCCAACCCGCCACTTCCCGTTCCAATCCCTCAAACCGACACACCCCGCAACTTTCCCCCACACACCTTCCCGCTCCACCCCACACCACGCCTCGCCACGCCACGCCACGCCACGTCTCGCATTGCCTGCTACCCGTTCGGCCTGACTACACCGGGCTGTTGTACTGCGACTATCTCCGTCCTGCTCTTTCCCGCCGCTTCCCGCCCTCCCACCTAGGTTCTCTGTGTTTCTCGTATCTTTGGGCAACTGTAAATCGTAGATGCATATTGCATTCTTCAGGTGATGACGTTTGGATAATATCATTGTTATATACATCGTAATAGGATTAAAATTTCTGGCTTGAGCTTGGTAAGATCGGTGGTTGACGAGTCGGTGGTTGATTAGTCTCACGTGCGTCAGTTATTATTGTCAGTTTTCAATTATATCAAAACTTACTTAAAATTTATTATATTTAAAAAGGAATAAATTAAAATCTATGTCTGTTAAATAAAAATATCTCACTTGCTTTATCGTCTTTACTAAAATTCTTATGTTTTATCTCAATTAGAAAAAAACTAGTTTATCGCTTTGAATTTTTAATGATCACCCATCCTCCGTCGTTTATTCACCGAGGGCGTCTCAACGGGAAATGCGAGGGTTCGAGTCCCGATAGAGGCAGGATATTCGACCTAAGCTAGATAGCTACGGTTTGAAGGTCGGTACTGGATCTCACCTTCGGAGCGAGGGAAGAATACCGAAACTACCCGTTATAAGAACATGGGCTACAATTACGGTACTAATGACCTTAGCACTTGACGCCCTCGTAAACACGAAATCATAAATCAATCAATCAAACGTTCACTCTATGAAACGCTTACTGACACCACGTGCTCTCACATACATTTAGAAATGAGTATGACACACATGTATTGACGAGACCAAAGTCAGGCCTGGGCTGTAGCGCCATCGAAGATGACACCCATGATGACATTACTGTAGGTCGGCGCTGAATCTCGCCAAGCAGTAGGGAAACCCACCTTCGTCTATAACGCATGCACTACACTTATGAAATTAAAGACATTAGCCGTTCACGTACTCTGAGTCAATATTGAATCGATAATTTGCTGGTGCACCGCAGGGCACCGTGGGTCGGCTGTGAGCCGCGCGTCGCCGCGGCGGGAGCCCGCGGGCAGCGAGGGGCGGTCGGACGCGCGGCGCGGGGAGCCCCGCTACGACCACGCCCCCTCGGCCCCTGCGGCACGCCTGGGCGAGCGCGGCCGCGCCAAGAAGGCGGGCGAGCGCCAGGCGGCGGCGGCGGCCGGGGCGGGGACGGTGTGGGTGCGGCCCCGCGTCCGCACGCTCTCCTCCACCACCACCACCACCACCACCACCACCGCGGAGCCCGAGGACTTGGTGGAGGACGAGGAGGACGGGCAGGCGGCGGCCGACACGCAGCGCCCGCGCCCCTTCCACGAGGACCCCCTCGACCAAGCGCTGCCGCTGCTCGAGCGCCTCAAGGTGAGGACGGGGCCCCTCCCCGGGGACGGGTCGTACCAAGACGAAAGGGGCTCAGACATTTTAAGTTTTCTAATTTTTAATTTAGATATGTATGTTGAAATCAAAAATAATTTTATAATTTAATTTAGTAATTTTACGTCATTATTAAGATAAATTTATTCAAAATATGATTATAGATTTTTTCATATCAAATTCCAGTAGTGACTAACATTCTCTCTAATCTTATAAATATTTAAAATAAAGATGATTTTAACATTGCACATTATACAAACAGATTTATTATATTTCATAAGTAAATGCATTTTTTAATTAAAATATTTATAGTTTATTTTATATTCTAAATGCTTGTATTGAAGAGGGAATGACACCAAATAGAATCGAACAATACTCATTCTTTTATCGATCGTGCTCTGTGCGCTGTTTGCTGGCAAAAAAGAGAATAATTAAATATAGAATTTTAATTAATATTAATAATATTTTTTAAATAAAAATTTAACAATAATATCACTTTCGGGCTGAACCGACTGGAGGTGAAGGGAGTTCGTCAGGGCCAGTTTTGGGATGTGAACCGATGGAGGCGTGGGAGGTCTGTACACACAGGGGACGAGCTAACGAGAAGCAATCGTCCCCCAGCCACGTGGAGGTCAAGCTGTTATATAGGCCTTTACTGCTGAGACGCTTTTTTCGATGTGGAGCTACATCATTGTGCATACGCGGGCAGCAGCTGCCAGGGAGCGTCAAGGGAAATAACATAATCCCGAGAATACTTGCTAGTACCCCGTTGAGTTGACCCCAAATTCCCCATAGACCGCGATTTAAAATCCGTTACCGAGAGGTGGGAGGCGTTGGAACAGAATACTATCGCTCGAGTCTCTCTGATACGGGAGCGAGGTCTCCAAACCAGAGACGAGTGTGGATGCAGTGCGTCGTTCGGTGTCCGCAGGGCGCTGCGAGCTGGCTGACGCCTACGCAGATCAACCGCGTGCTGGGCGGCTTCCTCAGCCACTCGCCCGCCTCCTCCACCACCACCACCACCGAGGACCCGCCGTCCTCGCCGTCCTCGCCGTCCTCGCCCGAGGACGTGGTGACGGAGGCGGCCGCCCCCGCCGCCCCCGAGATCCTACGCACGCGGCCCGTGGGCAAGGCCAAAGCGGTGAGTTCCCCCACGGCTGGCTTCAATTGGGAAACACAGTCATTCAACGTTAGGTTCTGATGTGAAGCTCAAGTTATTAAATCATTGAATCCATAGAGCCTCAAGGCCCGGCCCGGAAAGCCGAGGTCGCTGAGGCTGAAGAGCCGTAGCTGCCTCGGGTCTGAAGGGTCGCAGTTTTGAATACCACCCAGGGTATGAATGTTTGTCCATTATGTTTGTGTGTAATTGTCCATTCATTCTTCACCATCATCATCATTATCATCATCATCATCATTTCATATTCATCCCCCCAAGGCTAGCAACCTCACGTGAGCAGCCAATATGTTGCAGAGAACGTCAATTAATACATGCCTAATCGATAATATGATGAATGCTTAGCCAAGCATGTTCATTTAAACCGCTGTTTTCAAAACTAGTTTTATCGAATAGTAAACCTTTCGACTTAAATTTCTAAGAACCTTCATCGAAATATTTTTCTGTACTTACGCTTCCTCGCAATCGTTCTCACGTGGGCTCGTCAAAATAATACTGACTGAAAAGAAAAACACGCGTCAGATGGCTCAAACATTACGAAAACAAGGCATTGTCATGAACACGAGTTGGGAGATATTGTTGCAGTACGTTTTTAAAGTTTTCTGTCCGTCTTAATATCCCTTAGTGCTCAGAGGCATATGTACATGAAGCACACATGTTTCACAAAATATTTCAATAGCAATATTTCATCAGTTTAATTTGACTTCCATATTTCTTTATCTTTAAAAAAAAATTTTTCCCAAAGAATCTTAAATATTGAAACTACTATGTGACCTCTCTTATCTGGAATTATACTGAAGTTAAACTGTTTTTAATGGGATTTTTTGAGACATATGTGATTTTTTTATTGGCAAACAAAGTCTAAATTTAAATACAAACGCATGGAAAATTCTGACCCACTTTTAGACTCACTCTTTAGACCTTTTATGCACAGTGCATTTTATTCAAAATCCATGTATTATTAATTTTTTCAGGTTTCCAGCCCCCAAAATGATCTCATTCCCGACCGCCGAACCTACTCCCGCAGCCGCATCTTCACCACAACCACCTCTAGAACCACCACGCCCCGAGTAACTGCTCGTCCACCCACGAGAGCCTCACCGAGGACAACTACAAGGCCCACCACGACTACCACGACCACCGAACCAACGACCACCACTACTCGAACCACCACGACGAGGGCCACGACGCCTCGCACCCCACGGACCACAACCACCACCACCACCACCACGACCACCACCACTAGCACGACGCCCCGCACGCCCGCGACCACAGCGCGCCCTCAGAGAACAGGAGCGCGCACGGTGGCGCGAGTGGGCGGCCAGCGGACCACCAGCACGGAGTCGCCGGCCACGGCGCAGCCCCAGCGGACCACCGCCGCAAGGTAGGCCTTCAAAAATATCTCGACAAATGACGTCACTGAAAGGCCTGCCAGATGGCCGAGGTCGTTACAGTCGAGTCCCTCCTCGGACACGTGTGCACTTCTGTATGTTTGTATGTGTGTGCCGTCTTTACGTCTCTCTATAATTATCATCTCATCATTCATATCCAAAGGGCTTACAACCTTGGGGCAGAACTTGAGCAAAAATGACAACCGAAGCCCTCACAGAGTTCCGAGAATATAAATATTTTTTTTCGTAGGTTGGTGGTTCTTAACACACAATTTGGACTAGGGATGCAACATTGGTGTCGATGCTTTCAAAATATCGATATTTTATTTAATCATGGAGATATTTAACATCGATTATTTTATTTATTTATTTAATAAGTTATTATTACAAACAAATTAGCTTACTTGATCCTATGTGGCTAGGCCGAAGGCCTTTAAGCCATTACAATAACCTACACTCCTTTCGCATTCTAATCTTTCGAATTCTGGTATTCACCTCCCATATGGTCTCTCCATACGCATCAAAGCTCGAAAAGAGACCATAAGGTACGGCTCAGGAAAAAACGAAGGGGAAACCTGCCGTCAGAAGCCGAGTACATACTAATCTATCGACGTTTATTTAACTACATTTATTTCTGGGCGGGCGTCCCGCCGTCTCTTCCATGCTTGGCCTCCTCAGCCCCTGAATCAAACAGTCGCCACAGAAGATCGTCGCACCAACGCCTCTCGCCTTACTTTTTCGATCCCCCTTCTTCCACCCCCTCAATGTGGCTTATTACTATGCCAGTTTTTATTTTATTTATTATATTAACCTGTTCGTACCAATTGACTACGACTTATGACTTATTTCTAAACTGTTACTAACTTAACATAAAATTACTGATTCACTTACTTATTTGTTAGCTTATTGACCTTATTTATTTCTCTCCAGTCTAGGCTCCGCTCAAGCTAACTCGGTGCTGTTTCCCACTCCCTATTTCAGTTTCCCTATTGGTCCGAACCTTTCCTAAAAATGTTCCTAATTCTTTCATAAATTTAAACCTTTTATCACCTAAATGTTTTGGGCGAGCGTTGCGTTCCTGTTTAGGAAGTAGTAATGTCCCATTCCCATCCATTTTCTTCTCCATGATTCAGTTGCACACAGCAAATTAAGAGGATGTGGATCCAGTATTCCACTATCACCGCAAGCACACAGATGCCATTACCATTGCGTCCTTTAGTCTATCGCCTGCATCCATCCCCCAACCCTGAACCAAGCGTATCCCCCTCTTGCGTCCTTTCCGAGTGTATGAACGTAACTTTCGCAACCCCATAACGGACTCGCATTGATTTGAACTACTAGTTAACGTTTTTCAGCCGTTGCTGCCCAGATCTCTTGCCTTTTAATATCCGCAAGTCTATTGGAAATGAGCCGTTCTATCTCACAGGTTCCCGTATCTCCCATTTCCGGAGAGACTTCTCCCAACCCTGCGCGGTCAAGTAGCCGTTTAATTTTGAACGCCCAGTAGCGATGGTCGCTTCCTTGCCATTGCACTCTAAAGCACCTATGTATAAGTGTGGCAGCCTGTTCATCGGCTAATTTAATCCAAAGTTTAATAGGTTTAAATTTAAAATCTCTCCAAATTCCTATATTACTGACCTCTCTTAAGACCAAAAACATCGATTATGTGAAGTCGATGTTTTTTAAATTGATGTTTTGTTTGAAATATTCACTAACTGAATATTCTTCATACCAATGTGACCCAGGATAAAAATAAATAATATTGCTTTTTCGTGAATAAATAAACATACATTATTTTTTAATTGCCGCTTCAGAAAATCAAAGTCTCGTTAATTGTTCTGATGATTTATTTGATTAAGTTTTTTCACTTTTACAATATCATTCACGATATCACTTTCAAATGAAATTCTCCTTGCATGTACAACAATGCTTTCTAATATAGTTTTAAAAACATAAATGTTTTTGGGTTAATGTTTTATTAACATCGACATTTTTATTATTGTTGTTTTGATGTTTATTGATGTTTATAAATATCCATGTTTTGTTGGCGGTCTACTTCGGACCTCCATCGCAACTAGATATAAAACAGTTAAATCAGCGGCGCAATGGAATCCGCAACTTTCTATGTCTAAGAACTCCATTCCGGGCTTAGCAAAGAATATACCTAATAAAAGGTGATGACAAGGCACGTGGTTCGTGAAGCTAGCTCTTCACTGGCTACGTTCGCAGAACTCTTTGCGAGCAAAACTTCGAGAACAGGATTGCTGGTAGTTACATCGCTTAACTCCGCCACTCTACAACTTAGTCATTGCCTAGAAAAACGACGAAAGTTCGTTTAATAATGTAAAAAAGAGTCAATAAATCGCAAACGGTTTGCAGAGGAGAGAAATGAAATGATGCACTTTAGGAATTTATTTAAAGAGAAAACGTACTAAACGAAAGATCTGTGTTTTCATGAAGAAATGCATTAACGATTAGCAGGAACAGGTTCAGCTAGAGGTATGCACCTGAAAGTGGGGAACTGGGTCGTGCCATAATGAAAGGTAAGTGTCGTGGCGGTGGTCGAATGGTATTAGGAGGGGTGATATGTTCTTCATCCTCTCAATACCACTTCATATACTTCCAACTCGGCATAGGACTGAAAGACATTTCTTAAATGGATTAAAAAACATAAGAATCCGAAATTATCTCGAATAATGATCTAAAGATTTCGAAAGAATACCATGAATACTACTTTTTCCTTGGCATGTGCTCGTCGTCTAAAACCATACTTTTACCAACTTTGTGAGTTGTTCTCGTCCCACGATAGGCTTTCTCTCAAGCAAGCCACCACGACAATGTGCATCACGAGGGAGGACGAGTCATTCCAAAACTATTATCCTCCCCAAAATATTGTACTGTAAGTTAGGGCAATAATTCATCATAATAGTTTATAACTTGATGAAAAGTGTTATCAGAAATAAATATTTTTATTCTAAAGATCTTTTTGTTCGCGTTTCGAACCTCATCAGAGCTATCTGAAATTTTTTGTGCATGATTATTGAATGGATTATATGAAATATAAATTGAAAAATTGGACAAATTATTTAGAAAACGTTATGTAAAGCAGTATATCAGATGCGTAAGTAAACTGGATCGTACGTACGTTGCAGCTTGTGTACGATTTCCGCCCCAAACGGATTTCCCCAGTGGTATTGTCCGGGAGCTGGCAGGGGCGATGTGTGTGTCTGAGAGTTGCGAGCGCGTCTGTGTCTGTCCGTAGGGCCCGCGGGCGCTCGTGGAGCCGCAGCCGACCGGCCGCGCTCACGCCCACGCCGCCCGCCC